CGAAGATTTGCTCTAGGCGCAGCCACCGCCAGGCAGGAATGCCAGCGCGAAGGTTTCAAATTCGCCCGATCCGAGCAGCCGCTGGCCGACGGATTTACCGAGAAGATGGACGCACCATACCGCGACCGAGTCTTCTACGAGAATCTCTGGGTGTCCCACCGGACCCCCCAGCCCTTTCGCTCAGGAGACGGAAGCTGGCAGATCCCCGGGAGGAAACGCAGCGAGCACACCGAGTTGAATAACAAGAGGACGTCGACGAGATGAATGCGTGCTACGCCAAACCGAAGGACTACAGCGCTGACGACGAAATTGCAAGGGTTGATGTACATGAGTTTGCGTACCATTCTGAAGTGAGTAAGGCAGTTGGCACATTTGCGACACGCCCATCGCGTGCCACGCGTGTTGCAGGAATTCTAGCGAGCACCTTTTCTTCTGGACCTTCCGCGCCAGCTCCTGCAGCAGCAACGGCGGCGACAACCGCGTCGGAACAAGCAGTTTGCCAGATTCCAACGTCTATGGCTCAGCCATTCGACGATTGGTTTTCTGATCGGAATGATTATGATGATTGCGTTGCGTTTTTGTATTTGGCAGTATTTGCAGATGACAGCTGATCCTGCATCAGTGTTATCGACAGACTCCGTCCGATGATAGAGGGCGACCGATCGGGCGCGCGTCGCAGACTCGAGAGCACGCGAGCATGCGATCTGCAGGCTATTCTGCGCGAGCCGCGCGTGCCAGCTTCAGGAGTCAAGGCAGAATCGGTCACGAGGATTCTCTCTTAGTGCGCTGCGAAACCTAGTGAGTTTCGTTTCTAAGTTGGCGCGTTCTGGATTCATGCGTGAACGGATGCGTTTGGCCCGTCCTGATTTGGACTTCGACGGAGACGGCGGTGCCTTTTTTGGAACGTGCTGATCTCCAGATTCTAAGCTGGAATAGTTATACGCCGCACGATATATGCTGCGGCCGTTTCTTTCAATAATATCAGAGGGTCCCCTTTTCGAGCTATCAGCGGTTGTGTTCCAGTCACTGACTGGGGTTTCCCTGAATTCTACGTGCTGCATTTGATTGGTCGCGCAGACGACCGCCCTCGTATTGCTCGAGTCCGCGGAGCTTACGCGCGGTAGGAGAATGCAGACCGGTCAATCTCCAACATCATTGACACTTGGGGGCCTCTTGGAGCTTCTTGGGGCCTCGCTGGGTGCCTCCTGGGGCCTCCTGGGGGCCTCTTGGGGCGGAGCGCTCGGATTCTCGGTTCGCGTTCCCCCTCTCGGGTCACTTTCGAGGCCGTCGCGGGCGCGGGCGTTTTATTGGACGTGCGTATATCAGGACCTGGGATACGTTATAAGAAAACGCTTAGAGTGGAGTCCACTTTCTCACCGTAAAATGCTCTGAACTCTGAGCAGGGGTGCGCGCCGTATTAGGCCTGGCCAGGATCGGTGCGGGTTTCAGACTTACGCACTCCCATTGTCGTCGTCGCCGTTGTCGTCGTCATTCGTAGTCGAGCCGCCGTCATTCAGTCGTCATCCAGATGTCTCCGTCGCCATCGCCCTCGCTCAACGTCGCCATTCGCCCGCGCCGTCGTCGCCATCATACGTCGCCCACGCGGCCCGCCCGTCTCCTGGACCTCCGACGGCTCAAACTTTGTTCGCGGGCGTGGGGCCCACACCCCATCTTTGGAAACCGCGAATGTCATCTTGCGATTAACAAATGCGCGCCCCCCCTCCCCCCCGGGGGTGACGAATAGACCCCGCGGGGCGCGAACATGCTTTAATCGCGGGCGCCGGGGGGTCGTCGCGGGCGCCGCCGAGGGGATCGTGCGCACCCCTGCATGACAGCCTGAAAACGATTGCCGCTTCTTTCGCATCGGAGGTGAGGGGGTGAGATCGAAGTGGAACGGAGAGCCCCCCTACCGGGAAATCGATTTCGGTTTCGCGTTCGTGCGCGCCGCGCGGGCGAGGCGAAGCTGCGCGGGCGGGCGAGAGAAAGTCTCCTGTGGCTGAGGCGCGGCCGGACCAAATGATTCCCTTCCGGGCGGCCGGGGCCCCGCGGCGCCCCGCCGGTGCCCCGCTGGTGTCCCGTGTGGCTGAGGCGCGGCCGGATCAAATGTCTCCTTTCCGGGCGGCCGGGGCCCCGCGGTGCCCCGCCGGTGTCCCGCCGGTGCCCCGTCGGTGACCCGATGATGATGATGATGAGGATGATGATGACGATGTTGATGTTGATGTTGTTGATGATGATGGTGATGATGATGTTGGTGTTTTATTTTGATGATCGATAGTGAGATCGATAGTGAGGTCGAATGTGATATCGATAGTGGCATCGATTGTGAGATCGAGCGTGAGACCGAATGTCAGATCGATTGTGAGATCGATAGTGGTATTGGTAGTGAGATCGATTGTGAGACCGAATGGGAGATCGATTGTGAGATCGATTGTGATATCGATAGTGAGATCGACAGTGAGACCGAATGTGAGATCGATAGCGGGATCTATTGTGAGATCGATTGCGAGATCGATCGTCAGATCGATTGTGAGATCGATCGATTGAGATTGACAATGAGATCGATAGTGAGTTCAAAAGTGAAATAGATGGTGAGACCGAATGTGATATCGATTGTGATATCGGTTGTGATATCGATAGTGAGATCGGTAGTGATACCGAATGTACGACCGATAACGAGATCCAAAGTGAGTTCGCTAGTTGGATCGATAGTCATATCGAATGTGAGATCGATTGTGAGATCGATTGTGAGATCAATAGCGCGACCGAATGTGAGATCGATTGTGAGATCGATTGTGAGATCGATAGTCATATCGATTGCGAGATCGATCGATTGAGATCGATCATGAGATCGGTAGTGAGTTCGATAGTAAGATCGATCGAGTGCGACGTTGGTCCCTTTCCCCCCCCTCACCTCCTTATCACCCCAAAGGTGGTCGTATAGGTAGAAATTGTTATAGGGGTCGCACACATCCGAAGCGATTTTTTTGCCGTCGTCGTCGTCGTCGGTCGTCGTCGTCGTCGCGTCGTCGTCGTCGTCGACTACAGCGGGCCTGCGCAGCCCCCCCCCCGTCCACCCCATAGGGCATCCGCAGTGCGCCATCGTCGTCGTCGCCGTCGTTTTCGTCGTCGTCGTCGTCGACCGCAGCGGCCCTGCGCAGCACCCCCCCCCCATGGGGGCACCCGCAGGGGGTCGTCGTCGTCGCCGCCGTCCGTCGCTCTCTGCCGTCCGCTGGCTGTTGTCCTCGTCCTCGTCCTCCTCGTCTTTGTCCTCGTCCTTGTCTTCGTCGTCATCGTCGTTGTCGTCGTCGACGACGACAGAGACCGCGACTGAGGGGGGGTCGAGGACTGCCCGCCTGGTTCGTGTCGGACGAAAGGCTGGGGAAGGAAAGGGGGGAGTGCGAAACGTGCTGCGCGCAGCTGGTTTCGGTCGCCCCGCCGAGGGGCCAGTCCTCGATGCATGGCCGCTTTCGGCGCCAGGGAGCGCTCGGAAAATCAGCCACGTGAGCAGCTGGGAACATGCCCGCCTGGCCACGCCCCCCCTTCGTCCAGCCGTCCAGCCCGCTTTGCTCGCGCGCCCTCGAAGCAACTGGCGCCCCCTGGGCTGCGGCCAGGGCAGAGGAAACACATCGGCTCGACTTGAAGAGAGCACGGAAAGTGCGGGGGCGAGCGCCGACAGCAATTCTTCTC